CTCGAGCCTCGATCGCCTCGAATTTTCCCGTTTCCCGAAAACCCCACGTTACACTAACCACAGCCTTGGGATTCATTCTCTCCTCAGACGCCTTCGTTCAGCCGAGACGAGTCGAGCGCGCAACCAGACCGTATCGTCTGAGCCAGTAGAGCTTCAGCGCTCCCCGTATCGGCATCGCCATGGGCAGAACATCACCGCAGGGATTGACGGCCCAAGACTTCCATCACCAGCCCTATGTCAATCCTATCGACGTCTTCCCGCCCAAGTCACGCCTCGCACATCGGGCGCAGAACTACAGATCACCGATAAGGGGCCAGGTCCCAGCGAGGAGCCCGTCACGGTTTTCCGCAGAACCTCATAAATTTACTTGTTGCGGCGAGGACGACGAGTCTTCCTTCCAGCCGTCCAACGCCCTTAACTGCTGTGTCGACTACGAACACGACAGCGCCGGCATTGTCGATTTTGACCAGGTTGCCAATGACCTTGCACCCTGCTGTGATGAACCTCATCATACCTCCCCCAGTCCAATGGACTGTGAGGATTGTGTTGACGACTGCGAGGACTGTGTCGAGGAGCATCTGAAAGCAAACCAACATGTCGGCGACTATGTCGACGATTGCGAGGAATGTAAAGAGGAAAATGGTGTCAAGTGCTCCGAAGGCGCTTTGTGTCAAGGCACCTGCGACGAGTGTGATTTCTCTTGCTTTGACTGCATTGACTGGAGTCAGTTTGAACGGGATAAAACTCTGGGCCTATCATTCTCGGTCCCACTACTGGATGAGAATGCCTTGATGGCCCCGGACCTACAATTTGACGAGACAGATGCTCCCACTTTCCGAGCTCTCGAACTCCCTAACGGCCAGCCCGATATTGTCGCACATCCACTGGACGTCCCTATGCACCACCAGTGCTTCGATAACACTATCCCCTTCTGGACCAACATAGCTCAGGAGCAGATTTGCACGGGCAACCCCGGACTAAACCAACAGCTCCCGTTACCACCATTTAGACCGAACTTTGGATGTCATCCAGCCGCCGCTCATCAGCGCACATCTCTTCCCGAGTTCGCGGTATCTGAACCGATGAATATTAGCGCAACTTCCAGCCTACAACCCAAAGCACTCCTTCCTGCTGCTCCTGCCAAGGATCCATTGAACAACACACAAGATCTTTTAAGGGCCGTTACTTCCCCCGAGACCTCTCGAGCCTGCCAATGGCTCATGCCTTGCGGCACTGTTTGTGGCGCCTCCTTCGCCACTGGCACCGACCTCAAGAAGCATTTGAAGTCTGTTCATTTGGTCAAAGGCGTGACGAAATGCCAGTGGCAGAACTGTGACTCTCCAAACTTTGCTTCCGAAGCTGCGCTGACGGGCCATATCTCGAAGAAACATCTCGCCTCGTTTCTTACCACGTTTTCTTCAACATCTTCGTCTTCCGCCTCCGCGGCAGGTCATCGACACCAGCACCTTCACAAATCAGAAGGGCCGTTCAAGTGCACATTCCCTTCGTGCCCGAAATCGTTCATGTACAAGCAAGTCCGCGACGAGCACGTTGCGACCCACCACAACGGCAATAAGATGTACTGCCATATCTGCCACACGTTCCTGAACGGCGAAGGCTCGAATTTCAAGAGGCACATGGCCACGCACAGGCCCAAGCATCAACACACGCTGTGCAAGTACCACGGGCTGGGCTGTAAGAGGCGATTTCCCAGACTGGACAACCTGAGGAGACACGAGGCGTGCTGCAAGTTTGGAAAGGGACTGAAAGCCAAAAGCGTGGACAGTGCCGACAACCAACACCACCACCACAACCACCATCATCACCCTCACGCTTGAGAGGGAATGCGGTGGTTCCAGTTGGTGAGGCAAATGGAGAGCCGTCTGGGTTGGAAGGAAGCAAATTGTTATCGTTTTTCATTGGAGGTGCATAACATAAACCCAATTCCTCCTACAAAGGGTCATACTGTCACGATTGCCAGTACCATGTTTTACGGAAGAAGGATCGCGAGCCGAGAGCTGACAACCGTCTCTAGCCCCAAAGCTCGACAGATTTTTACAATATGTGTGTGTGTGTGGCAAAGACTACCCAGGACTCTGCACACCTTTCGCAGAGTTGAAGTTGGACAATCCTGAAAGAGAGCTGGACCGATGCCTACGGAGCTACATATCTAGCTATCATATATAGGCTTACAATGCGACTGTCGACGCATGCTTGGCTAGAAAATATACCATATACCATTGAATTCATACCATGCATCGGGGTACGACATATACATTTCATATCTCGTATCACATATCACATACCACACACCAAGCACCACATATCACATTTTTTATGTATATCACATCACATCGCTTCGTATCTAGTCAGGAGGCGGCCTCCCTATCCACCACGACTCACGAGGCCACACGACAGTCTAGTCTCTGTGTAGACAGATAGACAAATAATGTAATACATTGTATAGAGACATATGGGTGACTTAGTAGACGCCTAGCGAGCGAGGTAGGTAGGGGGGTGATTAATCAATTGATTAAGTAGTTGTCGAGTGGATCGGCTATACTATACTATTACTAGATATCCCAAGAGATGTGTCTCAAGCCATCTCATCCTGTCGGGTTCTTGATGATCATCATCATCTGCCCCATCGTCGCCATTATGCATTGAGACGTCCGTCCTCCCCGAGGTATCCTCTGCAACGGATCTCCAGCTTCGCTTCCTGCATTACAAAACAAAGAGCAAAACAGAAACTCGCCACCGGTGCTCGTGATTAACGAGCTGTAACTTGGCCAAATGCTGTTTCATCCCTCCGAAACGCCCTGGTATAAACTGACCTTCTGTGGTGGGTATCATGAATGTGTTGAAATCAAACAGGGCATTATTGCGATGAGGGGGTATTCTGGTACTTGAAATAAAAGAGTCACAAATGCCAGCCCGAGAAAGCGGTAGCAAAGGTCTTTGCGGCATCCTAAGGGGCTTTGGACAGGCGGTCTGCGTAAATGGCATGCACAGGCTGTGAGTGCTAGATAGTAGGAATCCAGACTATGCCAGAAGTTGGCGGCTGATGATCGTTCCGGATCGGCCTCAGGCACATTGTGCCGTTTCCGTATAAGCGACTACACCGTCTCGAGCAGGGTCGGCCTTTGTGTAAGCATTGGAAGTCGTGCTCGAACTTGGGGTAGGCATAGTATGCGTAATGTCGTAGGGGTCATGAAAGAGTATCGGTGCTGCTCGCAGTTCCAAAGGCGATCAAGCCGCCAACGGGACGCCTGCCAAACCGCTCCCGTTTCCTCTGCCGCCTTTTAGCAGCAAGTTGCGGGCTCCATACTCCAGCAAAGAGGTCCTCGCATTCATCCTCGTCTTGCGAGTCAAATTCGAGCTCATCGCTCGGATCGCCAGCTCCATCGACTATCTTTCTCAGGTCTCTTGGAGGCAGGGGTAGGACTTCATCGTATGTGTAGGGACTGGTGTCATCTTCCTCATTCTCCCACGAAACGTTGATGCGAATGCGTTTGGTCTCGAGGATAAACTTGCCAACCTTGTACTTTTGGCTCTCTTCACTGGCTTCAACGTATTTCCATCCGAGTATGCTGTCGCAGATTGCGCAGCTAATATCGCTGACAATATGCTGCCCCGTCACGAGGTTTCGCGAGATGTTCTTGTTCTGAAACGTATTAGGCAAGGAAGGGGCTGTGGTGTGGATGTGGCTAGTTGTCCCTTGAACCAGATACGCTCGACCATGTCTGCCCATAAAGCCCTTGCTGATGATCTGCGAAGTCAGGCACAGATCAGTGGAGCATTTTGCGCATTGAATGTGGGAGCTGTGGCCATTGAGGAACTTGTCCTCCGGCGGAGCTATAGTAGATGAAGTGGATGAGACGGGAATGGGGGTCGGGGTAGGGCTTCTAGTGAAGGGGTTCGAAGCGGTTGAGGCGGCGGACGCAGCTGTGTCCGTGGAACTGCTGCTGTCGGTGCTCGACTGACGCGACTTGCGGCGAAACGGGATCGAGGGGAGAAGATATGTAGGGAAGATGGGAAAGAATGCTGGAGGATCGGAGGTCTTGCGGAGGAAGGACATCGTTGCTTGGACTGGAGCAGGACGTAGACAGCTTGGGCAGATTATTAGGAGTCCGGAGGGAAGGCACAACAGTCAGCAGATCGAGCAGGTGTAGTCGTTCATAACTCCTCTTGGTCACACGCAGGGACGGGTTCGCGGATGTGGATCAGTAATGGAATTGGCCTGAACCGGAGGGTTATGACATCGGATTGCCTGGCGCCAGTTGGGAGAGGCAGTGTCGAGTGTTGAAGCAAACAACACCGTCCAGTCAGTGTCCGGTTGAATGACAAGATCTTGTGGACCAGCCACCACGATGAGAGGAGAGAGAGGGAGTGAGGGTGGAAGTTGAAATTGAAGGCGGGAGTCGAGGAACATGCGGTAAAGTCGATCATCCATCAGCCTTCTCCTTCGTGTATCCGCGTTCTCGCCCACGGTTTGTTACTGGTACCCCGTACCCATTGTCACCTGAACTTGTTCCGATCAGGTCCGCGTGATCATTCGGATGTCGAACGAGGGGGAGGCGAGACATGTCTGACAGGAACCATTGAGCATGAAACTGGCTGTGACAATGAGAGGTCAAGATGTCAGACAATTGGATAATTTTCGGGCGGTGACAAACCTCGGAGGTGGGATGTCACCAGGTGGTGGTGGTGGTGTCAATGTAAGAAGCTTACCAGGGCGCAGGTGGGGTAGTGAAGGTGGACGAAGCGGATGCAGTGGGCAAAGGCTGGTGGCTCCATCGGGCCCCATTAGGCTCCATTTGGGCTTATCGATTAACAGTCTGGGCCTGACAGGCGCTGCAACCCCTCTATTGAGCAATGAGCCAGCACTCGCCAAACACCAAGATGACCACCTAGGCAACTTTTGCCGGTGTCCCTCGCCTGAAACTCCGAAACTCCCGTATATCCTACATACATTCCTTCCACCGGGATCGGCGCCCCCTTTATACCTCGCCGACAAAACGACTGGGATTCGGCATGATAAATTGATTGGCCAATTTGGGCAGAGACGAACCGTTAAGATGTAACGGGGCGTTGAGGAGGAATGCCGAGTTGGTATCAATAAAAACCAGGAGCCGAGACAGGAACCCTTCCAGGCCTAGAGCGGCCAGTCCGCCTCTTTCTTCCAACATGCGTTTCACGGCGTCCATGTGACAGTGATATGCGCCCTCGTCCCCGAATATGGCTTCGTAGCTGGCCATCTTGGCGACAGCGGCGATGATCTCGTCCCGATAGACCATGCCCTTCTTCGAGGCCGGTGATAGGGCCTGCGCGATGCCCGAAATGGCGCATTGTTTAAGGAACAGGATCGTCTCGGCCAGAGTCATGTCATTCTGCCTCGCCGCATAATGAGACGCCGAGAACAAGACGATGACTTGGAATATGATCGGCGAGCTGAGAACCATGGGGAACCACGAGGTCTGCAGGAGAACAGACCGACTGTCTCCATCTAGCTCGGGCACGGCCACGGCCAGATGCTTCAGGTCTAAGGGGGGGATCTAATCAGCACACACAGATCATGGCAGAAAGCAAAAGCCGTGAATGCAGCAGGAAGGACAGGTGATCAGCTGCAACCTACAATTTTCCAGCACTACGGAAACAAGAGGATGATGGTAGATTGGACTCTTTGAAGCCGGAATCATGCTCGCTGCAGATGGTCCAGCCAGGAGGAGTCGGTCATTGCTCGCTGTCGCGGGGACAGGCGGAGGAGACGGCACCCTGTCTTCTGATTGTTCCTCGCTTTCTTCTTTCTGGCTGGCTGAGGGGTCGACGAGCGAGTCGAGACAAAGATCCCATGTAGGATTCAGCTCGCCGCGGCGCTTTTTGTGCGGTGGCCGTTGAGTTGAGCGACAAGACTGATGGCGGGACACAACAACTCGGGCGACGTGCGACCTGATCTCCCGGCGCATTCGCTGCGCTTGGGCCTCTTCAAGGGGCCCAGCATCGATAAATGTGAGCAGGGGTCGCACCATGTTTTCCTTTGCCGGATTAGGAGAAACAGGCGAGACGCAGAAGACATGGTCCCAAAAGTACCTAGGTATTATCCGGTGAGATGAGAAGAAGGAGAAGAAAGTGACAGGCCACACTGATCTAGCTTCTTACTGCTTTGGGCCTCGTACGTACGAATATGGCTTAGCGCTCCCAAACGGCAACCTCCGCCAACTCTATCAACGAAGCATTTCAAGCATATCCCCTCCTTGTTCTTTATCGCCTTTTCCCTGCTTTTTTTTTGGTCCCTCATTCAACTCAGACTACCTCGTACTCCGATGTGCTCCAACCAGGACTGTCCAGCCCGTCACCTTCAAGGGAGCAAGGAAGACCACTTAGCGGGATCTTCCCTCCGCCAGAGAATTTTTGACCCGTACCGCACACTTGTTCGCAGCCCGCGCTCTGCTGTTTTAACGACTCGTGTATCCTCCATTGGCAAAGATTGTCTGGCCTGTTTGGATTGACACCATATCAGCATCTGCCATCACGTCATACAAGCTTCAAGTGGACATATGTGCTTCCGTCCACAGATCCGATCACTTCTTGCTGTCCATCTTCAAAGCCCGGGGATGGAGAACATGTTCCACCTACCATTGATCCAGGCCCCTTCAGTGCACAAGAACTTGTATATGGGAGCAATGTCTTTAATGTCCGTGAGCCGGCCGCCAATGGCATTTGACTTGTGAAAGGCGACTGCCTCCGGGCTCTCTTGGCCGTAGAAGAATGCTGTCCCAAAGTTAGTCGGACCTCCGCATGTACAATGAGATCATTTGAGTTCTCATGGATTTATCTCTTGGTTGATTGGGCGCGGATGAGATCTCAACCCTCCGGTAAGGCTGGGGACTGCAACTTACGCGTATCCTAATTCATTGCCTTGTTAGCCTCTATTTGGTCGGCGGGATTCGCAGCACACGATGCCCGTATACGTACCATAGGCCCCGGGGCAACAGCGTTCACACTGACCCCCCTTGGCATCAGCTCCTTGCTCAAGCCCTTGGTGAACCACTCGACTGGACTCTTGCTCCCCTGGTAGGAAGTGTAAGACGGAGCGTACGCCGCGAGGAGGCTCGTCACGGTATTGATGATCTTGCCGCCGTCGCTGACCCGTTTGGCCGCTTCCTGGGTGATGAAAAAGGCCGCTTTGGAATTGATGGCGAACATGGTGTCATACTCCTTTTCGGATATCTCGACCAATGGTTTCTTGAGAACCATGCCCACTGTGTTGATCACAATGTCGAGCTGAGGGCCAAAGTCTGCCGCAACACTCTTGAATAGCTTCTCCACGCTTGTCGCAGTGGTAAGGTCCCCTTGGTAGATCTTGACCTTGATGTCTTTGTGCTTGGACGAGAGGTCAGCGGCAAGTGTTTCGGCCGCCTTTTGTGTTGAGGCGGAATTGTAGTGCAGCGCCAGATTCGATCCTTCGGCGGCGAAGAGCGTGGCAATCAATGCTCCGAGATTCTTGCCGCCTCCAGTGATGAGTGTCGTTCTGCCGGAGAGAGACATACTGGGACGTAATCGAGGTGCGACTCAAGAACTAAAACAAACACTTGAGATGGTGAAGAAGGTGAAGAACCACGGTCCTCGTAAGGTTGCCGTGTGAGCATATGGCACCATTCTTATACCCTCGACCACGGACGTGTCTGTTCGTTTCTTCCTTCCTTTCAGAGATAGCAAAGCCTATCGATCCCAAGCCTCATGCGGAAGAAAAGGTTGCGTGGGCACAGACACTCCCAATCAGTTCAGCACCAAGCCTTGCGACGCTTCTCTCCAGATCTGCGCGACGTCAAAGCTGAGAGATCGACCTATCATCCAACCTCAGAGAGGTCAGGGTGGGGGGTGGAGAGGGCCATTAACCACAAATGGTTGCTGCATGCAGACATTGGCATGGTCCGTGCGTAATGCTTAAACCACTTGCTCCATCCACGGACACAAATGACGATCCTCTTCACGTAAAATTCTGGCCAAGGCATGCGGGGTCAGTCTGTGCAATCCCTTATTTCCGCTGCGGCCATAGAATCAGGTCGGAGCACGGCGACGCACAAGTCAAGCGTCTCTGCATCGTACAAGCAGGTCATCACACAGAGCATATCGTCGAAGAAATAGGCAGAGAGTGAACTCATTGATGATATCCAAAGAAAATACCCCTCCGCCGTCAGAGTTGCTATTTTTGCCGACTGACCACCATACATCTTACCGTGAACGATGCCGTGGAACGTCGTAAACACAACATCCTTATAGTTGGACTCTCCAGATGGGAAAGCGATGACAAACCAAGGTACATAGCGACGAGGATGGCAAGACTCGGTCGGATCCCAGCCATGAGCGCCTCTTGACAGCGTACTGATCCGTGCAAGAAGAAATGCACATGGAAACCGCCTCAATAAATGGCATCCACAGCAGAATACTCTCTGGCCTCGATCAATAGCGAATACTTCATCAGTCCGGACTCGGTATTTTCCACCTGCAGCTCATATGACAATCGGCAGTAAGGCTCTCCGTCAGAACGTCGATACTTTTTCTTGAACAGTCTCCTGGCACCACGCGCAAATCCGTCTAGAGCACAAAATTGAGGGTAACTACATACAGGTATGTCAGAATATATGTACAATAAGTGACATCGGACAAAAACACTGGACTCACCACTCACTGGATGCTTTGGCGGCGTTGGCGAAGTAGACTCACAGGGCTCATTTGGAACTCTGAGTAACGATCCACGGGGACGGTGGCCTGCAAACAGTAGAACAAAGACGAGTTTTGTTTTTCCACCGCGTCGTAGGCCGTCATCCTGTTCATATAATGCTTCTTCACTTCTTCAATAATCCTTCCGTGGAGCAGCGGGAGGATTCAAAGTCGAGAGGCGTCCACAACGTACCATGTATATGAACCAATGCATGGTGTCGCAGTCTTCCCTCTAGATAGGCACATGATCAAGGTTGTGGCAGGGAGTCCTACGCGTCCTTTGGCTGAATTACCGTGATCCCAGGGTTCGAATCTCGCACCGCTTCCTTCAAACAGGGGCTTGCTCCGAATCCGCCAATGAGGAAAATCGCCTGGATGGTTCTAGTTTCCTTCTTATGGAAACTGATGCTGTGGTTGACGAAGAGGCATGTCCTCCATGGTGAGGCAAGTTATGGTCATAAAAGCCTCAAGCAGATAACTTTTCGCTGGTGAGATTTATTGACCTTTGCCATAATCGTATCCTTTCCAGCGAGCATGTCCCAGGACAGTCGTGCTCCTTTGGTCGAAGATATGAAATCTATCGCAACGGCCACCCAAGCTCAGATTGAGTCCTCGACACATCCTAGCTATGACCACGCAGGTAGCAGAGCTAATGCTCCTGGATTAAGCCAGTCAAGTGGGATTTCGGATAAACGAACAGAATTTCGTCAACGGGTAGGGGTAAAAGGTGAAACTGGTGCGAGTCCTCTCATGCTGTCCTTCACCTTACAAAGGCCTTGCAACAAAGACGCAGACGTGAACAAACGACTTCTGCAATCATCGCTCAAGCAGCGACTCAAGCTGAACCGGAAGAATGCTGACAATTCGTCGGGTTCGTAAGGCGACTTACACCGACCAATTCCTCTTCCAAAACCGTCTCGAGAAAGCATACAGGGATCAAACCCGTTTCTATTACATCGCCATGTGCGCCTCGCACGGTATGCTCTGGCCTCAAATCGGTATCGGCGCAACAGTCACCGCGCTCGGGACGACAAGTAGGTCTGGCTCTTTGTTCAAAGTGCCGATTCGTTCTTGGCTGCGTATTCGTTCTCTATTGTGCCACCAGGAAAAACTGATAAACGATTTGACAAGATTCAAACGCGGCAGGAATCGCTCTAACCGTCTTGGGAGCCATCAACACCGTCATTGCAGGCTTTTGACCTTTCTCAAGAGCAGAAAGCAACCGAACAGGGCATTACAGTTTAGGAATGGCCTGCGAGGAGTATACGAGGATCTGTGGCAGGTTGACGCGGAGATGTTGAGTGGTAAGGGAGACATGGACTTGGATCAAAGGGTGGACGACTTGTGGAAAAAGCACAAGGTCACGGCCGAGACGGAGGTGAGTTGGCTTCTCGTGTTCTTACTCACTCACTCATCCACTTTCCTTTGTCGTTAAGTAATTTTTTTTCAGGAGACCTGACCAGACCGACTTTTGTTTACTCCTATGCAAACTACCTGGATCTATGGGTCAGTGTAGACAAATTGATCAAGCCCACAGACGCGGACAAGAATCCGAGCACGCAGTTGAAAGATGTCTCGCCGGCAGCGATCAGTGAGCAGAAGCCTTCGAGCGAAGAATCGTTGCTCAAGACAAGGCCATGATCATGGGGACCGCCTTCAAGAGAGATGCTTCGTTTGCGTTGTCAAGACACACTTGAATTGACGGATACCGTGGTGACGATTCTGGGTTGGCAGGGCTCGAAGAACGCCTCGCCAGAAACATTGGTGTTGGCAATGGAGTATTTGGTGACAGATTAGACAGACCAGATCAAGAAAGCGCGTCACAAACAAATCTCCTGTTCAAGCCAATACTCCATTGACCGCCTCAAGTAGAAATTGGGCTATACCATCGCCGTCCAAGACAGAAATCTCCAACCCACCCATGTCAAACTCAACCCGATGGACACTGGTGGCATCTCACCTCAGGGCGTTTCCAACATCGCTTGACTCTCTTGAGCAATGACAGGATGATAGTCGCCCTTCTGGAACAGAAGTTCGTCGTCCATATCCACCGAGCGGTCAATCTTGAAGTACCTAATCTCCCACTCCTCATCTATAATGTCGCCAAAGCTCTCCAACTCGGCCCACAGTTCTGGATGCGCCTTCTTCGCCCATTTCTCCACCTCGTCCTTGCGATACTGCCAGGGTATGGCGTTGTAGAATGTGCCAATGGTGACAGCGTCAGGCAGCTCGCCTGTATCGTGCTCCATATGCTCAATCAATTCCACGACATTTTCGAACTCGGACTGTCCAGCAAGGGCACCAATGTACGCATCGTACACTTCTTTTGTGATGATGAGGTTAAAACTCTGCATCAGTGCCATAATACGTCTCGCCTCGTGACCGCCCTGTGGTATCCACCTCTCACATGCTCGCAGAGCAAGGATAAAAGAGCTCAACGTGGGTCCCTCGCGCGACTCCATGATCTTCCAGAAATGATCGATAATCGCGACAAACGGTTGTTGACACTCCGTGTATGCTGCCATAAGCCCATTGTGGATGCGCGTCGTCTGTTCGACTTCCAGGTCTAGTTTGAGCATATTGTAGACCATCTGTAGCCCGTCGATGTCCTTACACTTGGCGATCCCCTCGAAGCATTTCGCATATGCCTCGGGTGTAGGCCGAGCTTCAACATCTTCACGCTGCCGCATATGGCCGAATACGAGGCATGCTAGGTCAGGACGATTCCGATCAAAGAACGACTGCATCAGGGTGATACGGTCTCGTACCGGGGCCTCGGGGAACGCATGACGGAACAGTTCGTAGGCATTGTAGGCGCGCTGGTCCTTGACCGTCGGATCCACGATGAATTGTTGGAAGACGGCAGCTATTCTAGCCCGGTCGTCCATGGGATAGCTGTCGACGCGGTGGCGGAGTAAACCTGTTGCTTCCTCCAATTCGTCTTTTTGAAGGAAGACGTGGCACAGTCCCGCAATTGCTTCAGCCTCTAGTTCCGCTCCACTTTCAAGTAGGTGGTCAACCACCTGCATCAGATGCATGTATTCAGGATCTGCAGAGAAGGACAAGGCGGCAATGTAGTGGTTTAGAATTGGCACATCCGACCTGTCGACGGGTATATCTTCTCTGGATAGAAGCTCGTAAGCCAGGGCTGCAGCCGCACGATCTCCGCGCTTCATTTCGTAATTCAGCTGCAAAGCTCGGGTCCTGGCGTCCGGGTGTAGACCGAGAGATTCGGCCAGTTCCAGATAGCGCATCGCTGTCTCCGGGTTATTTTGCGCATATGCATACTCGATTACACGGTTCAGGCTTTTCAATGACACTGCATCGGTAACCCCTCGCTCCGATAGCTGTTGAACCATCTGGCGTATGTGGTTCACATCGGGATCATGCGAAGCGTGCCAGAGCAGCAAAGTCCCTGCTATGTCTCCTGCATCGGTCCTCTGTTGCAGCAGGTGCACTGCCTTTGCGCCCCATTCCAATTCCCCGTTCTGCATCGCACAGTCCACGACCTTGACTAATGTCGGTGTTGTTGGCAGCTGACCTTCCGCTAAAGGTAGAGAGAAGACCTTTTTCAAGGTAGAAATCTCGTCATGCTGTGCAAAATAAGTGACTAATATTTCTTGAGAGACAGCATCCAGTTGCCCGACGGTGTTCTGCACTTGCTGCATGAGCTTCCAGAACTCTGACATTCGTCCTTCGTTTGCGAGGCCTCTCAACACAGTTGTCCACATAGGTAAGCTGGCTCGATCTAAGGCGTTGGGAGATTTGCGAAGGAGTTCTAGAGCGTCCTGGGCTGAGCCTGTTCTGGAGAGCACGGTAATATAGGTCAACAGGAGCGAACCTGGAGCCCGATGATGTCCACTGGGCTGGATGGGGACGTGGGAACCATTTGCAGCCCCGGGGCGATCCTTGAGTGCATCGAAGACCAAGGTTGCTAGAATCCGTGCATCGGTTCGAAACCTGTCATGACCTGTTGCAGATGCTAATGCCAGCAAAATATTGTCCAGATCTTCCTCTGATAGACTCGTCTTGGTGTCTTCCATGAAAATATGACCGCGCTCTTGTAAATGCTTGAAAGCCTCAGTGGCCAGGAAGACCTCATTTCTCGTTAAGCGTCGGGGGGACTCGATTCTAGAGGTGAACAGGAATCTGAGAGCATCGACAACTTCGTTATCCGGAGGTAATCGAGACTGGCACCTTCGCGCCCTGATGAGATCAACCAGCTTGCTCAGCGCAAGTTCGACATTGGCAGGAGTGCTTTTGGCACCCTCGAAGCCCTGTCGAGCACCTCCAAAGTTGAGTCCAAAGAGATGTCGTCTTTGGTAGAAGTGATAGGGGGTGTAGGGTGACTGATAGGCAGGTCTCCTTCCGATCACTCTCTGGCAGCCTCGAATGGCATATGGTTTGTTGGCAATGATTGCACGGAAGACGCTCCGGGTCAAATGTGAGCACTTCATGGTAACAACTTTCAACACCAATTGCAATGGTGTTTTAGATGTCGAAGAGCGAGAGAAACATGGCCGAAAAGGAGGGGGAGAGGGGAGGACAATGCTGATCTCAGCTAGAGAAATCGTAGTGGCATGATGTATTAGACGATTCTGCATATACAAGTATATGTTCCTCGTACTGCGATTGAAATGCGGAGATTCGGCGCACCTTCCTTTTGGTGTTTGGCCCTACAGAAAATACTGGGTACAAGTCTTTCAATGCCTTGTTCTCCATCCTGACCTCAGTAGGTTCATTCCCTCTAGTTGCTTCCACAGCCCAGGTCTATTGAAATATGTCGGCTCAGCTCAGTCACAGACTAGGGCTGCAGCTGGGTCGCGCCAGCAAATCTATCGCCTCATCTCCTCTTGACCGTACGTCTTTTCGATTATTACTGACAGAGAAACCCTGTTAACCCCCGCTGTACAGAGACCTTCAAACGCGCAGCTGGAATGACGGTCAGAGAAGCAGAACGAAGAGCAGCAGTGGCACAAGAAAATCAAGCCATCGCACGACAGCTTACGCGACCCTGGAAAGCTGGCGATGTGTATGCACCTCACGACCTGAGTGCAGCAGAAGCTCGCAAGTGGAGGGTCAAACACCGACCCACGACCGACGCTTTTGACGCACTATCTGTCAACCCTCTTACCTTGTATAAAGTGAGCTTGTGATCCCAAGGATGTGGTATCCCTATGCTAATCATCCCTAGAACTTCTCCGTGATGTCAGAGTATGTGACCGAGATGGGCCGGATCCGACATTCGAACTCAACCGGACTGCGACCAGTCAACCAACGAAAAATTGCGAAAGCCATTCGGAGGGCGATAGCATTGGGTCTCATGCCGAGTATCCACAAACATCCTGAAATCATCAAGGAAGAGATGCAGGGCAGAATGCTCAACACTGGGCGAGTGAGGTGAAGCTGGCATTCCTGGTCTGTCAAGGAACGCCAAAATATCCTACGCTATGGCAAGATCGACACCTGAATTCGGGAGCGAAATGTTCAGGAACAAGTGCAAAGTTACCCTGCGCCTCGAAACCCTTTCAAACTGGATGTTGCGGGGATTTTGCACAAGGCAACTTTGCAGAAATCCTGCTTCTTACACCTTATCCTACGAAAGCTGCCAACCGCAAGGACAAGAGCTGCGATCAGCCCAATAAACGAGAACCACACGGCAAGCCACTCCAGTCGTTCTGAGGAAGATGGGTACGAGCGGGATACACGACCTTCCTAGCGATCGGCCATTTTTACGTTAACAACTCGCTACAATCTCCCACGATCAATACCTCTCAAGGTATATCGTGGGTATGATGTTATGCTAGTCTCCAATGTTCGAACAGCCCCGCGATTGAAGCGATTAGGCACCTTTAATAGGGTGCAACATTCGCCATGCGCTTTCCGACACATTTTCTAGCTTGGCTCTGCTGATTGTGAACGAGACTTGGAACGTTCCATTGGAAGGGGGAGTGGTTTTGGGTCAAAGTGAATGCGGTCCGGCGCAAAAGCGGGCTTGGTTAGAAATAGATATGTGGATTCTTGGTAGTTACTCGATCACGACGAGGATTATCGGCGGTTTCGCATTTTCTCTGTACTTTACATGCTTAGACGAGTAGAATGTCAGATGTGCAACCTGAGTAATCAAGAGCTCCGTCTGTTTCCTTTCTTATCGACCTGAAGAGGTACCACGCAGCCTTGTAGCCTTGTAGCCTTGTAGCCTCGCCAGCCTTGCCCGGAACAGAAGTATTTATATTCGGGGAGCTGCGGCCTTGTAACATCTTCACCTACCCGCATCTCAATTCAATTAAAACCACCAGAGGTGGTTGCTGTCACTTCTACCATACCCCTTCATGAAAGAAGATGTCCATAATCGCCGACGGCATCTATGCCGCACTTCCCTCCACCTCTCGAGGCTTGCCTACCCCTCTAAGTGCTGACTCCAAGGGTGAGCGAATTGCCTACGCTGCCAACAAGTCCATATTTCTTCGATCCATCGATAATCCTGCTATATCCACTCAGTACACCCAACACACGACTACGACCACCGTTGCCAGATTTGCGCCTTCCGGCTTTTATTGTGCCTCTGGTGACGCTTCGGGCATTGTACGGGTTTGGGACTGCTCACCCAATGGATCGGGAGCGACAAAAGGAGAATATGCCATTATATCAGGCCGTATCAATGATATTGCGTGGGATGGTGACAGTCAGCGTATCATAGCAGTAGGCGATGGGAAACAACGCTATGGACACTGCGTGACGGCGGATTCAGGCAACACGGTGGGAGAGATCAGCGGCCACTCTGCACAGGTCAATGCCGTCAGCATAAGACAACAAAGACCCCTGAGGGCGGCTACAGGAGGTGATGACAAGAACTTGGTCTTCTACCATGGTGCTCCGTTTAAATTCAACGGCATTCCTGGTCGAGGAAGCCATACGAACTTCATTTACGGAGTCGCTTTCTCGCCGGATGGCAATCACTTGCTCAGTGTTGGCGGAGATAAGAAGATCTATCTATATGACGGAAAAACTGGGGACGTGAAGACTGAGATCGCAGACGGCGCGGAAGGCCACAAAGGCAGTATTTTCGGAGTCTCGTGGTCCAAAGATTCGAAGAGCTTTGTGACTTGTTCCGCTGACCGCACAGTCAAGACATGGGATGTGGAAGCTGGGAAAGTCACTCATACCTGGTCTTTTGGCGATGCTATGGCCGTTGCAGATCAGCAAGTTGGCGTCGTATGGCCAGCAGGCAGGTCAGACGGATTGATTATATCCCTGTCCCTGAGCGGAGATCTCAACTATCTGAACAGCGGGTCAAGCAAACCTTCCAAAGTCATTTCCGGTCATCAGAAGAACATTACCGCCCTCACATCTTCTGGTGAAGCGAAGAGTGCTACATTGTGGACGGGCAGTTCCGAGGGACGATTGTGCTCGTGGGATGCTGCAAATGGGACAGCGGAGACCGTCGAAGGAGATGGACCAACCAACATCATCTCAGGACTTGCTGCTGCGTCTTCAGGGAAACATCCTCAAGTGTTTTCGGTCAGTTGGGATGATACTTTGAGAACAGTTGACGCCGGAGCCAAAACATTCACAGGGCAGTCTACTAAACTATCATCACAACCAAAAGCTCTAACATGCACGACTGACTCTCTGGTTGTGGTGGCTCAACTAGAAAGCGTCATTGTCTACAATGATGGGGAAGAAGACGGAGAACTGCCTTTGAAATCAACGCCGACATCTCTCGCATCTCATGGTAGCACTGTCGCGATCGGTTCCCAGGATTCAAGTCTTCGCCTATTCTCTGTTGTGCCGGGAAAAGCGCCCAAGCAGATTGCGTTCATCGAACAAGTCTCTGCCCACCCGCTAACGGCCATATCCTTTTCCAATGATGGCTCGATGGTGGCAGTCGGATCTGCTGCAGGAAAAATCTACGTGTACAAAATCAGCACCGGCATCACGGGAATGGTGACCGGGAATTGCTCGCTCGAGCTTGTGACCGATCGGTGGAGCGCTCATACGGCAAAGATCACCTGCATCGCATGGAACCCAGAAGGTACAGGAGCAGCTTCTGGTAGCCTGGACACTAATATATTTGCTTGGAGTTTGAAGGAACCTGGGAAGAGAGTGAAGGAGACGAATGCGCATAAGGAAGGGGTCAATGGCCTTCTCTGGCTCACAGACACTGTGTACAGCACTGGAGCCGATGCCACAGTCAAGAAGTGGAAGATCAAGATCGCATAGATGGGTTCATAGACGTTACGAGGCACATGGCGTTACGAGTTGACGAAGGACCGGTTGAGTCTCCTGGTCGAGACAGCCTGATGCAGTGAGGACGAGGCTGCGGGAAACATTACACTCTGTCGAGGATCACGTAGCGAAATGATTGGCATGAGTAGCATGTACTTGTCCCCAAACGCTCTGTCTACCAGAATTGTGGCAACCTGGACCGGACAATCCATCGGTGTGCGGTGTTCGACCCTCCATATTCGGGGATGGTGTTTGGTTCAACCACAAGCCTCACAATGTCAGGGCTCCGCAAACTTTCCCTCACCCACATCGTCCAACTGCGATTCGAATGACCCGACTCTGACCAACTCCCACAACTTCCCGCCACAACATCAGAGAGGCCATGTCGAGACGCGCAATGCGCTGGTTCTCTGCATGAACACAGTCTTGCTCAATACCGCGCTGCGCATGCGCGCTCCTTGAATCATCTCCGATCGGTCCTCGGGCCCAGCCAGCATGGCCACATTCGACGAGACCTTCAACCCCGCCGCTCTCACACGATCAGATACGATCACGTCTACAACGACCACCACGAAACCTCCTCCCGGGTCGGCGTCGAAACAACCGAAAGCGGCTCAAAGCTACCCTCGGGTGGACTTGGAACCTTTGTATACTGAACTCAAGTCCTTGATCGGTCACAACTGGGATACATATTTCGATGCTATAACCAAATTTATACGAGGTCAGCTGCACTTCCAGGCGCTGGAGCCTCAATAAATTAGACACGGAGGCTGACCACTGTCTGCAGGGGAACTGAACGCACGAGAATTCGGCGACCTCTGCGATGTCTTCATCTATGCGACTCCTCAGACCGAACATGCCCACAACTCTTTAATATTAGCCATACTATGTAACACCGGCAGAGATCCCCCTGAACCTGGACTGGCGGCATGGGTCAGCGCAACGACAGACAAATCCGCACTGACGTCCGGCACCAAAGCCACGGCCATCAGCGATGCGAGCGAACAGCGACTCAAGGCCGAAGTGATGGCCCTACCCGCACGAGACCGACGACGCATCAAAGGAGCAGCAAATGAGAAGGCGGACGAAGAGGCGGCGGCTCGAAGGAACCCATATGAAGAGCTGTACCTTGCCGGCAGAATCAAGGCACCAGAGACCGCCCCAAGTGCAGCCGCAGGAGGACTGACAAAGACAAATTGGGACTTGGAAATCAGGAAAAGATACGTGCAGCCACTTTTCTCAGAAACTCTTGAGTTTCCCGACACACCGACGATACATTCTCGGATCGTTCCCATTTGTTATGAAGAGTCCGTCGCGCAAGGTTGCTCAATACAATGTGCTGAGCTGGTGGGGATAGCCGCCGAGACATATCTCAAAACCCTACTGGCCGAAGTCGTGAATCGAACACGGTCCAATGGTCCAAGGTACGAGCACAGCGCAGGTGGAGGAATCTTGACGAGCTCCTACAAGAAGAAAATCGATAGGGAGGAAGAGGAAGTCAAGGCTGGGAGGCTCAACAGGACTCGTGACGACGACCTGTTGCCGACTGAAGCGCAGGTTGCATATGCAAGACGCCCAATCGGCATAGCAGATCTGCAACTAACTACCCAGGTTGGCCCTGTGCCTTGGAATGCAATGCCTTGTATTGCATTCAGCGTGAGCAATGCTTCAGCAGGATATGATCATGATCAATGGCTCATGGAACAAGAGGAAGAGGCCAACGCGGCGGCAGCATCGACAACAGCGAATGGGCATATTGATCCAGCCGAGGATGGTATGGATGTTGACAACACCGACAACTATGGCTGGGAAGGTGCTGGGCCTCAGGACAGAAGTGGTCTAGATTCTGTTCTTGCTGACTGTCTGGCTATTCGTGTGTAGCAGACATAATAACATCGAAATCAGGACCAGCAGAGAATAAGATCGTTGGAAAGGAACAAGCATTACGAGTCTGAAAAGAGTGAAGTGCCAGACGCCAACAGTATACAAGGTTCGCCTGGCTGACACACACCATCAATGATAAGGACTGTGGTACGCAGCGTTGGGCATTTAATGAACTGCGCATCCGTCGCAAGGTGAAGCGAACGAGTCTAAGAGGTGGACGTCGTGCCCAACCCTGTCTCACTTTGGAGAGCAGTGCCGGGCTTCCCGGGACTGGGTGATATTCGCGATATTTACAAGCATTCTCAGTCGTCATTTGATTATGGGGATTGCGACCAGACGGCGCGTGCGGGATGTTATGTTTTGGTGTTTTGGTGCTATGGTAGAAGGGCCCATGGTCTATTATCGACGGTGGGATTGGGAGGGTTTGAGGCTTTTAATGCGATTGGTATGTAAATGAGCTCTACGATACCCCCGGCGTGGTGGACACCATCGAGGAACAGGATTCAAGAACAGTGAACCAGGCAGGGAGCACTCCGGGTTGCGCGCGGAGGAGGAGAAGAAGAAGGAGAAGGAGAGATTGACAGGTCGTGACGGGCATGAGGGATTCAGAAACCAACCGGCCAACGAACCAACCACCTTTGCCATTGATGGGAAGTGGTATCCGGAATGAAGGCATTTGATATATTCCCCAAGGTGATTACATGTATATGATGATCAGCCTGTCCAATCCAGCCAAGTGTCGACGGTTTTCCCATTGTCAACAAACAATTCTGATCAGGCGGAGCAAGTCATGATGATCCCGTCGAGCGGGTCCTGAATACGTACTCTGTACAAGTGCATTTCGGAGTCACACGAGCAACTTGGAACGGCTTTCACAACTCGTCCTTTACCTCTTGTCCTCCTGTCTGCGCTTTGTCCGGCTTGCCTGGGGAATCCTTGACCATCAACGCTAGAATGTCGACCAGGAGATCGCTGGCCGCCACGCTCGTCACCTCCGCAACCGTGTCGTATGGGGGGCTCACCTCGACGACGTCGGCGCCGACCAGCCGCACCCCTTCCAGGCCCTTGATGAATCTCTTGACCTCGCGCGTCGTCCAGCCTCCCGACTCGGGCGTGCCCGTGGCTGGGGCAATGCTGGGGTCCAGGACGTCAATGTCGATGCTGAGGTAGACGGGGTTGTCGGTCCCAACGATGCTGCGCACCCGGTCGGTGATGCCCTGCATGCCCTTGGGGTCTTCGTCGATCTCGTGCGCCTCGATCAGCTCGAAGCCCACCACCTCCCGATCCGTGACGTAGTCCTTGGGCGAGAAGAGTTTTGTCCGCAGCCCCCCGTGCACGCTGCTCCCCTTGGCGATGCACCCTTCCCGGGCGGCGTGCCAGAAGAAAGTCCCGTGGGTGATGGCGCTCTGTTCCGAGACAATTCCCGTGTATCCCGCGTAGGGATCCCAGGTGTCCAGGTGGGAGTCGAGGTGGATGACGGAGATGGGCCCGTAGATCTCCTTCAGGGAGCGGAGGATCGGAAGGACGATCGAGTGGTCGCCCCCCAGAGAAAGGATTCGGGGATGTTGCCATGTTCTCTTGCCCTCGGTTGGATTTGACGAAGCGTCCGTTGTGGCTGTGCTAGAGGTGTTGTGGAACAAGATCTGCCGGTAGCCCTGCTCCATTTGGCGGAACGCATGCTGGGCGTCAAATGGAGTCACTGGGATGTCTCCGCAGTCGACGATGTTCAGCCCTCCTTCCGTCAAGGGGTCAATGCCCCAGACTGTGTTGTAGCTCCTCCCCTTCTTCTCCCTGGAGCTTGCGGCTCGAATACCTCGGGGCCCAAAGCGTGCGCCGGGCCGGTACGAGGTCGACGTGTCGTAGGGGAATCCTACAATGGCAATGTCCAATTCAGCTGCGTGGCGGGAGGAAAAACACCGCTCCCACGGCAAGTGGGCAAAGGTGACGGGCTGAGAGAAAGGGAGGTCTTTGTCCAGGTCCTCGAGGGGATAGGGGTAGTTGGGCCCAACTGAGAAGGAGAGAGGTGTCTCCGAGGCGGCGTCGGGAGTATCATCATGGGAATGGGTGTGCGCATGGACACGAGTAAATGCTAGAAGGGAGACGAACAGCACCGAGTGTGTTAGAATCGAAGCCACTTTTCTCGTCATTGCTGTGCTTGATATCGCTCGTTGTCTTTGTTGTCAATTGCCGCTTCGTTGTCTGGAAACCTTCCCTTCGCCACCTGAGCTGTTGCCCCTCCCTTGCTCTATCACCGGCGACACTACCCTTGACCACTTGTACTGTAGAGGGAACAGGTAGGTGTCTTGCTTGTTACATGCCCCGTGATGTTGGGCCAGTTGAGCTGTAAAGTAAGTCGAATAGGCTCCTCCCACCGCACCAAAAGCACGACAGGCCAGCCTTTATGGTCAGAACGCATTGTCTCAGCGGGGCGACCGTATCGACTACTATCTGTCGTGCCGTTCCAAGAAGCATGCAAGCATTCTTTCATGGACGGACATGTCCTTGATACGAATCCACCCTTGCGCCGACCCATGCAGCTGGCATCTCCGTTCCCCACGTTGACGCACGAAGGCGAGAAACCCTTGTGGGTCTGTCGCGCTGAACTGGAGATGGTGGTCACTTTCTGTGGTACGGATGGACCTGTCCGATACTAGCCTTGCTGCATGTCGATTAAAAAAATGCGGAAGCAGGTGTGGAGGAGAATTTGCATACGATGGATAAAAGCAAGTATATGATGGTGGACAAGTCCGACTGGGATGTGTGTGATCCAGGGAGCCATCAGGTAAACTGTCTAATTCAATTCAATGCTTCCAGCTTTTCGTCTTACCGTGGATGAAAAAATGGCGGCTGTGCTGGGGATAGCTCAGGTGATATATATGTTTGTGTCGCCGTCCCAGTGTCTATGCTGTGTGCTGGAAACGCCGCCGTCTAAGTTCTGAGAGGGGACTTCAGGAGGAACGGACGCTTGACCTCAGTTGAATACCACCGTTTTGTGCCCGTTCAAAAATACTCGCTTTTCTGACCACCACTTGACCGCCGCAGCTAAAACCTGACTCTCCACATTGCTCCCTTCGTCAACGAGTTCCTTGGGCGTTATGCTATGGTCCACTCTCGTGACCCTCTGCTCGATAATCGGGCCTTCGTCTAGATCGGCGGTCACGAAATGAGCTGTCGCGCCAATAATCTTGACGCCCCTGTCGAAAGCTTGGTGGTATGGCTTTGCACCCTTGAAGGAAGGTAAGAAGCTGTGATGAATATTGATGATTTTGCCGGACATAGCTTCACAGAGCTTCGGAGAGAGTACTTGCATGTACCTCGCTAGAACTACCAAGTCGATGTTGTGCTCTTTGATAAGCTCCAGGATGCGGTCTTCCTGTTCGGCCTTGGTGTCCTTGGAGACAGGCAGATGATGAAAAGCAATGTTATAACTCTTGGCCAGCGGTTCGAAGTCCTGGTGGTTCGATACAATCAACGGCACCTCGATAGCCAATTGCCCCTGCATATGTTCTGTTAGGCTTGGACAGACTATTGACACAACCAGAAGCACAACGCAACAGTCTTTGTCAACAAAGGGGTCTCACAGTCTTCTGGCGAAAAAGGAGGTCGTTCAAGCAGTAGCCAATCTTGGAAACCATGATCAAAACCTTTGGCTTCTCAGCCACAGGTCTCAGCTCGTAGTCCATCTTGATATCGTTTGCCAGCTCCTCGAACGAAGGAATCAGGAATTTTGTGTCATCAGCCGGTCCGAAGTGCACTCTCATGAAGAATTTCTCCGAGGTCCGGTCGCTGAATTGTTGCAGGTCAAGGATGTTGAGGTTGTTTCGCGCGAAGATCCCCGTAACAGCATGAACTATACCCGGCTTATCCGGACACGACAGGGTCAGGATGTGGTCGTTGGCCATCTTTGTGAGAATGGACGAGTCTGGAGTCGACGCGGTAGAAAATAGAGACTTCGGTCGGAGGAATGTAGCAGTCTTTTCTGAAGGCTGCACGCGTGGGAATCTTTGTCGTACTACACTCCGACTTGCAAGTCTTGCTCCAGTCAAAATGGTAAGCATCTGCCTTGATCTCTGTCTGTGCAAGATTATCTGCTCGTGTGACTTGGTCCAATGACCGAAAATTCTGTCGATATCAGAGTGCACTTGGTGAGCTTTCGGTCTGCCGTATCAGAAACTGCGCCAAGCTACGGCAAAGTACTTCCCCAGCCTTCGCCTCGTGGCCCTCTGCTCCGTCATGCCTGCATGCTAGGCGCAGCTAGGCGCAGCCAGGCGCAGTTAGGCGCATCTAGGCATCCAAACGGTTCATCTCCACTTCTGGAGATTGAAATCTTGTCTCTTGAATCGCCAAGGGCCGATGAACAGTCTTTGACGGCTCAGCGAGAAGAAATAGAGGCCCCGTGGGAGTTGGGGCGGATCTGGTGCCTGGAGAGGTGAGACCAGCGCAGGCTCGCCAGGCTGCTGCCGCTGTCTGCGCCAATCTGATCGATCTCACGTGGGTTCGCGGTTTCGGATTCATGAACCAACGCGTTGCTCTCTTTTCGACCCGCCATTGAACTTCCCCAATGCTCTCAGCTTCTAGTATATGACCACGACCATCCCCTCCTCCTCGTCACCCGCCCTCTTCATGAAGTCGAATGCCAGTCATCAATCCTCTGTCATCTCGTTCTGTCGCTTTTGCAAGTTCTCTGCGTAAAGCTTGGTCCCACAGTTGTATCTGTCCGCCTTCGTCTCGTCTGCTCATCCAGCTTGCGGCCCCCTTTACCATTTCCCACGCTTGTCTGCATACAGGTCCACCCTCTCCTCTATCATCCACCGCCGTCACCATGGCTCTGGAGCTTCCTCCTCTCCCGGTTCCCATCCCTGACTTCGTTAGCTATGTCGACAAGAAACCCAGGAGCCAGATCGGCGTTGCTGAGGCGGTTAGGCCCTTCAAGGCTTACGAAAGTAAACTGAGGGAGATCTACGCCCAGCAGCCTGATCACCCAGCTGCAATCGCAAACCATCTGGTACCTGTCTTCAAGGATGCTCCTGTCACCATCCGAGCAAGAGATCTTGCAAAGGAGTCTGACGCCGCGAAAGACCAGTTTCTCTTGTCTCTCCAACCGGAGGCTCGCAGGAAAGACGGTTCACCTGCCACCACCCAAACTCTCAAAGACTTCAGGACCAACTTCAACCTTTTCTCCGAGTCTTCGTTGGTGGACCTAGACTGGAGTAATGTGGTATGTGCAGGAAGTGCTGTCGTCACTTCTTTGCTACCTGTCGACGCTCCTCACAATGAGTCCAAGGTATGCCGCTAGCAACACGAAATCCTTCCGCGCGTGTTGACATGACTTTTCAGCGAGCCCTTCGATCCTATTACCATGAGACGCTTGCACCTGCTTCTGATGTCGATCTATTCCTCTACGGGCTGAACGAGGAACAAGCCATCGAGAAAATCAAACAAATTGAGACTAAAATTCGGGATAGCATCCTGTCCGAGACGACGACTATAGTAAGGAGCCCTGAATTCTCTTCCCAAAGTCCTTGGGCGCTCTCGAAGGCTCAGAGATGTCAAAATCTCTCGTCTGCTAACCGCAAGGCAGCGCACCAAAAATGCTATCACAATTGTGTCGGAATATCCTACCCGCCATGTCCAGATCGTGCTTCGCTTGTATAAGAGCATTTCTGAGATTCTCACCGGCTTTGATGTTGACTGCTCCTGTGTAGCTTATGATGGTCAGCAAGTATGGGCTTCGCCTCGAGCTCTCGCCGCATTCATGACTCAAGTGAACACAATTGATCTCACTAGAAGATCCCCCTCTTACGAAAATCGGCTGTCCAAATACTCCCATCGCGGCTTCGAGGTGGTGTTCCCCGGCATCGACCGAACACGAATTGATCCCACTATCTATGAGAGATCTTTCTCAAGGGTGCAAGGCCTGGCGAGACTGCTGGTTCTCGAAAAGCTGCCACATCCCAATGACAGGGACACGTACCTCGCAAAACGTCGAGCCGAACGAGGTAGGCCCCCGTTGTCGTGGAATTCTCGATTTCGCCATGAGCTTCCAGGAAATGTCAAAGATGCTCAACCGGATGACGTCGCTGAGTGGGTAGAAGAGGACGAAGTTTCTAATTACCACACTGTTACCATTCCATATGGCCCCAGATACACTGCCAAAAGAATTGAGAAGCTTCTCTTCACCAAGGACCTGCTCCTCAATGCTGAATGGAACAAACCTAAGGACAGAGAGACCAAACTGCATCGCCATCCAGCCTTCTTTGGGTCTGTCAACGACGTTCTTCATGACTGTTGCGGATATTGCCCCGAACCCACAACAGACGCAGACTTTGCCGCGCTCGAGGAGGAAGGGAAGATCTATATATCTGGAGATGTTACATTTCTCAAAGATGACCCAGGCAGACAGGCCATCGGCAGCTTTAATCCCATCACAGACACAGACTGGACGGAAATGGCATACGTCGGCAACACTGCCAGGCTGTGTCAAGCAATAGTCGATCTGGACATTGATGCTGTCAGAGACTGGTTCTCAGAGCCGGAAGTTGTGGACGTTAACCGTCGGGATCCTGCTGGTCGCACGCCTCTACATCTTGCGGTCATGTGCTCCACCCCTGAAATCGTTCATTGTCTCATTGAACATGGAGCCCGCCTTGTATCAAGACTCTATAATGGTATGACCGCTCTGCACCTTGCTGCCCACCGTGGCGAGGTACAGATGGTGAGGGACATCCTCGACAAAAGTAACGCAAACGAGGAACAGGAAGCGGTCAAGGAAGAAGCGCGAAAAGAAGCACGAAGAGCTGCTGCCAGCAATTCGCAAGAAGCTAATAATATCAAGGACGAGATCGGCGACGGTGACTCCCTCGACTCTGAAGACTTCGAGAATGCTGATGACGACGACGACGACGAACGTGATGATGACATGACCGAAGGGTCTTTTGTGAAAGTGGAAGGCAATCTCGAAGTCCAAGATCCCGAGGACAAAGAGGGACCCGATGTCTACGATGTCGATGTCTTGGCTTGGGATAGTCCTATGTCTCCTCTCCACCTTGCCATCCTCGGGGGCCACCTGGATGTCGTGAAAGTTTTGGTTGACAGTTACGGCGCCGATGTCCTCCTTCCAGTCAAGATTGTGGATGAATACAACCGAAAGCACGCTAGGGCTGCTATTCTGACCACCACTCTGGCCTTGGAGCTCCCGTTGCAACAGGCCAATGAAACCGTCAAAGGTCTTCTTGCCCTGGGGGCGTCATCCACGCAGGCGTGAGTCTCCCCCTCCACACAAGGCCTAGTTCTTCAACAGGAGATCTATGGTATCTTATGTTCTGTGACCGTTGGTACAGGCTGACAGATGTTGACAGCGATATGAATCACATTTCTGCCCTCCATTATGCGATCGAGACTGGAAAGGCGTTGATAGTGCAGACGATGCGCTCCGCTGATCCATCAAGCTTTGCCAAAGCTGTCAATTTCATAGCCATGTCCGGTTACTGGACTCAGCCGACGGTCGATACGCCTCTGCTGACCGCCATTCGCACTGCCGAACCGGAACTTGTTGAGGATCTTCTACGCATGGGAGCCAATACCCACATTGACTTCGAGCTCTTTGCGCAAGCATACAAGCGCAGCTTTGACAGAACCTCGAATGATCCCCAAGAAGTCGAGAGAGTCTTTAAAAAATGTGTCCAACAGCCAATCGTTGTAGGTGTTATCCACGAATTGGTGGATTTTGTCATCCTACTCATCGAGAAGGGTGAGGACGTCAATACTCTAACCGCTGGCGCACATCAATATCTGGAAGCTCCGTATCGCTCCTGGAGCCCAACACCAAACTCCTTATTGGACCTCGTGCGAGCCCGCATCTCATCACTTGAGGAATACTTGTCCCCCCAAGTCAAAGATTTGAAGCAGCCAGAGGCACTGAAGGAAGACGCCGAATACCTCCGCAACCTCGACAAAGGTTCTTACTGTTATTGGACTGCTTTTATCGACCTCCAGAATGCTAAATTGATCCGTCAGTATCAAATGAGGGAATATGAGAAAGAACTCCAAGCCAAGAAGCCAAAGCCGGAGGCTGGGAGGAAGGAGAAGGATGCGGCCGTCAGCAGAACCGTTGCAAAGTTGCGTGATCTTGAACGGAGGCTTCTCGAGAAAGGTGCTAAAACGTTTGCGGAGCTGCATCCGAAGGAAAGCGGTCAAGAAAACAAGCCCAACTACTATTTCGGATCGAAGAATCTCAACAAAGATCCGTACGAGACGAAGATATCTTTCCAAGTGCCAGATCTAACTTCGGAGAAGAAGGCCAAGTACATCACCCTATTCGAAGCTGTTTGGAAGGGCGACTCTGATACTGTCAAATCGCTTTGTCTAACGAGCGCCGACCCAATACAGGTGGCTATCACGGATCTTCATGGTTTCAGTCCGTTCTCAATAGCGGCTTTCCGAGGCCACTACGAACTTGCAGAGTTGATTATTCAGATTGCCAATATCCAGTATCAACCGAGCGACAAGTCACAAAGGTACCACTACGTCCTCGGCACTGGCGACGATTATGATGAAGACAGCGACTGCAGTGACTATAGTGACGATAGTGACGGCACGGAGCATAGTACTCGTGTGAGAGTCGTCGCCGAACTTGTTAACGACACCTTTACGATCAACGACATCGCTGCGGTGGCCGACAACGTCAAGTCGAGAGTCTCGCCAGCCATCATGACCTCTTGGACTTGTCAGATTGGGCACGCAGTCCAGAATGCAGCAGACGAGCGACAAGTCAGGGATGTTTTCGGAGGTGTACAATCGCGGAATATCTACGTCAATGACGAACCAAAACAGTCTTTGGCATGGTTCAATGCGGCACTTGAATCGACAAGCCGGCAGAATCGAGCGTCTCTGGTCAGATATGCTATCTTTGTCAACAATATGGATCTGCTGAAATTCATCATCAAAATAGACAACACTCTCGCGCATGAGAAAGATGGGGATGGACTGAAAGTCGCGACCATTTCTAAACCCGATTTTGACCTAGCGGTTCGACTGGGTAGGGTTGATATGATTGGCGAAATGATCAAGTCTACTGGCTTCGGATTTCCTCTGCAGAAGGTATTTCAAAAATCAGGAATCCAGCTCGACGAGAAGCCCGAGTACTATCAAGGACTCAGTGTATACGGCAAAAAGCGTCAAGACTGGGCCGAAGCCGGCCGTAAAGGCCACCGTCCCCAAAAAATTGACTCAGATATCGGAGTCCCTCTTCTGGCCGCTATATTGGAAGGCAATTTGGAGACTACCGAGTACTTTATGTCAGAGGCTCCCTTGCGCCACTACCTCGAGTTTGCCGAGACCTTTAAAGAAGAGAAACGCATCCAAGCATTAGCCCAGGCAAAAGGTGGCATTCGAGGAACTCTCGATACATGGCTGTCAACCCGGAATAACCTAGCACTGCACGTCGGTGTGTTATCGCCTCCTTTGGAAGACGGAACTCAGCCGTGCTTCGACTTCCTGCTTGAGAAGATCCCCCAAGCGCTTGAAGTCCGCTCCACCGAGGGCAAGACGCCTCTCCATCTTGCGTTCGAAGTGCGAAGATACTATGCCGCGAAGAAACTGATCGCAGCAGGTGCCGATCAACTCGCCAAGGACAATGTTGGACGCAACATTCTACATATGGTTCTTTCAACCATTCCAACGGACAAGCCCGCCCTCCTCGACTCGGTCTTGGGAATGCTGGACCAAAATATTGTTGGACCGTTGCTCCATGAGCGCTGTAGCAACGTCGAGTCCTCGGGTGTCACCCCTTTGGCAATGTTCCTCACGCGCATCACCGACAAAACAGGATGGGAAAAAAGCCTGAAGCTTATCCTATCTCTCTCCGGTGGCAAAGACCTCGAAAAGATGAATGGAGCGGGAGATTATCCATTACACTCGGTTGTACGACTAGGCCATCAGAATCTGGTGAAGTTTATTGTGGAGTACAGGCCAGGACTTTTGTACTGGGAAAACGCTACGGGGATGACTGTGGGTGATGTGGTGACCACTGCATATCTGCGATATCAAATCGAGAATCCGCCAAAGCTGAATCCGAATAGCGAGATGAGCATCCAAAATACTCCCGCCCGTGAGTTCGCGGAGGGTTCCGAGGCTGGTTCAAACAAGGATGAAATGCCAGATGCAGCCGGGCGCAGCCAGCAATGGCTGATGTACCGCCTCATAAATTCCCTTATGGCCAAATATCCAGCGAAGCGCAAGTTGGTGGCACTCCATGATGCGAACGAGGTTGCGAAGCGCCTGGCAATGCAGCAGCAGAAGCAGAATGAGGAGAAGCGTCGACGTGAAAGACTTGGAGCGAATCTAAGACACTGGCGACACCAGGAGCACTCTGAGGACGCTGGCGGAGCTGAGAATGGGCCGGACGAAGTGGCCCAGTATCTGGATCAAGCGAACAATTACAAGAAATGGGACGAGCTGGTGTGGAGGAAGGTGGAGGCAAAAGAGACGAAAGACTCGAATGGCCGTGACATCGAGATGGAGTACCGGCGCCGTGGGAGTGACGCGAGTATTTCTGATGAGATGACTGTGAGCGTGCTGACAAGCCGGTGAGTTCTGCTCAGCAGTGTTTGGGGCTGGTCCGTACAATGGAAACTTCTTCCATTGATGGAACAACGAGGACTTCGATGGTTGTCGACATTGGGGGGAATCGGTTGAGGTATATATCGAGCATCAAAGGGGACGTTGGTGTAGTGATATACTTGGAAAGCGGTCAAGGATGGGATTTCAATCTAGTTTATCAAAGGCTTGTCAGCCTCAACAGGACAACAAGCGTCAATTGTCCCTTGTCTCGCTATCTGTCCATCTACCTATCTTCCTTTCTTTCCACCTCCACCCCTTCCCTTGCCTTTCCCACCACCACCGCCTCCTTTGCCCCCGCCTCCTCCACCCCCACCTCCCAAGGCACCTCCCATCCCACCACTCTGAACGATCCTGCAACCCTTGACAGGCAAGGCGCCGACGATTTCCTCAACCCTCCACTCCTTCAAGAGGTCCATCTCACGCCTCCAGACCTTGTCCTTTTCGCGGTTCTGCTCGTCCATGACCTTGGGGCCCTTGGTCGCGAGAGAGGTCCAGAAGCCCAGGATCTCGCGCACCACTTTGCCCTTCTTGACATTGCCGGGTTGCAGCTTGATCTTGTATTTCTGGCGGGTCAGTGCGGTCCACGGCGCCACGACGGGGATGGCAGCGACGAGCTCGTCGCCTGGTTCCGGCATGGGCACAAGCCGGTCGATGTCTAGCAGTTCGCGCCGCTCCTGTTCCACCTGCTCCTTGCTCAGTTCGTCGTCGTGATCGTCGAGGAGGCCGGCAGCCGCTCCTCCACCATTGGCATCGGCCGCCGCCTTTTCGAGCCTTTCTCGACGTAAGCGTTCCTTCTCCGCCGCCTTTGCGTGTTGTGCTCTTCTTCGTTCTTTATCTGCCAGGGCCTTGGCTTCACGGGCAGCCTTTTCTGCCTCTACTGCTTCCTTGCGTTCTTGGGCACGGTTAGACCCGAGGAGTTGCATGGCCAGAGCTCGGTCTTCCTCGTCTTGGTCGGCATACTTCTTTTGGGCGCGTTTCAGCTTCGAGCGCTTTCCGCGGGCGAGTTGCGCGGGTTTGGACTTCGCCGTAGCTTGTGACGAGGGCCCCGGCGTGGATGTCCGTGTAGATGGCTCTGTCGCTGGAGTGTCCTCTGACTCTTCTCCCTCTGAGGCTTCGTCTGCCGGTGGCTCTTTCGTCTCGTCTTCGATCCCAATCGCGCGCTCTTCGAGACTGCTCCCCTTGGTATCTGGATGGGACTGAGCAGCATTGACCTGTAAGGGATTCGACCTCTCTTCCTCGGCCTCCGAACCATCCGTAGAGTCGCGGTTATCTTCATCGTCTTCAACATGACGTGATTGTTCACGGTCCTCACCCAAGGCGACTCCGCGGTCGTCCTCCTCTTCTTCATCCACCGCAGCGTCAGCAGCATCTTCGACATCGGGTATCACTTGGCTTCGATCTGGGCCAGTATCGTCGGACGTGTATTGTTCCTCGATAGATACCCCACTCATATCGTTGGCCAGCGCTTCAGCCTCTCCCGGAAACAGGCTCTCCGTTCTCTCCACCCGGTGCTTGCCATGGTTGACCCTGCTCTGCTCGCTGATCAACCACAGGACCCCAAACCCAAGGATCAACTGACTCGGCGGCAACAGATTCTTGTGTCCTCGGATGACGAATCCACCAGCAGCGAGATACTCGCCATTTGGAGCCGTCTTGCTAACTTGGTCCGCGTTGACCCACCAAGCTCCCATCACCGCCTTCGAGTCCCAGGCACTGCTCGTGCAGACAGTCAATGTACCAGCTTGGGAAAGCGTTGAGGGGGGAATCGGTGCATCGGGCATGCGCGGATTGTTTTTCACAATCACACTCGATGCTCCTTGCAAGTCGGCATGCACGTAGACATCGCCCTTCTTCAGGTATCGCCGGTAAAGAAGCTCGTTCTGTTGCGCATCCTTGCCTCCAATCACAAGATATCCGTCACTGGAGATAAAGTACAGGAATTTCTCGAACCAGAACTGTTTTCTTGCTGGCCTCAGGACCGCCTTCTCCTGCTTTAACCCTTTCTTGAGATCTGCGTCAATCTTCTGCTCAGCCGATTTGAGGGCCTTCACGGATGCCTCCACAGTTTTCTTCTCTTTGACCGCTGCTGACTTTTTCTGGTCGTAATATTGGCGTGCGTTTGCCCAAGGTGATAGTGCAAGATCAATGTCAATCGCGAGCCGTTTATCTGCGGTGGGTGCAGCTTTACCCCGAGTCTCCTCGACTTCCTCGTCAGACGCAACCTCCTCGTCAGTCTCATCTTCTTCGTCACTCTCGTAGCCTTCATCAAAGGTGGGTTCGTCAAGGAGGAGAGTCACTGTATTCTCCTCCAGCTTGAGGGGAAGTTTAACCATTTGAGCCACAACATTACCTCGCTTCTGCTCATTTTCGATGAGCTTCCCAATATCAACCCAGTCCATGCCTTGCGCGACCAGGCCGTTGACCGCAGCACAGGCTTCCTCCACGCGGTGGGTGTTCGCCTCGATTGCTTGGGCCTTGCGGACGTGCAATTCCTGCACCTGTTGAAGGCCTGCCAATCTTTTTTCATGCTCATCTTTTGCAACTTGCAATTTCCGTTTCGCGATTTCTTCTCGCTCCGTCAACCGTGACTCCAGCTTCTGAGATTCGATGGACGAATAGAACTCGTCAACCGTACGATTGAAACCGTTGAACTCGAGAATGTGGACACCTGGCTTGTTCTGAAACTGACTTGGTTGAAATGGATGAAAATCATCATAAACAATCGACTCCCTGGCGGGTTTCTGCGCACTGGAAGACTCCGTCTCGCCCGAGGAAGGAGCTTTCTGTTTCGCAATAATGTAACCCTTCGATTGCCCGGAACCTGACGACGTGAAAACTTGATCTGCAACTTCCAATGCAGATATGACTGATCGTAGAGACTCCTGGTCTCCCAAAACGTCCTCCGCCTTCAATGTCGCATTGACGCCGGCTTCTCTAAATGCATGCTCAATTAAGTGCTGAGGAAACTCGGGAAAGCCGATACTCAGAGCCTTTACCAAATCATCGATTCCTTTTGCTCGTTTCGCTTTCTTGCCGCCCACCTCTTTTGCAGCTTTCGCACGTTCCACCGCCTTTTGAAGAACCTCCCTGACTCTTTCTTCTGTTATAGGAGGTACTCCATGGAAATTCTGTTTTGGCTCGAGGGTGTACTTTCCGCCCACTTTAATGTCCACATCTGCATCTCCTTCATTGACTTGCCGCTGCAGAGCGAGCACATTGAGGTCCGCATCGGTGACGATGATGTTCCCCGCGGCAAAGAATTCCAAGAACAAACGATATAGTCCGTTGCTGAAGGTGATTTGTATAACTCGGTCGGTGCCTATCTGGGAAACGCCAGTGACACGTTTGCTCTTGAGATAGTGGCGCAATCTGCTAACGAAGGCGGACGGCTGAGTCGCAGCGGTCCGGGAGAAAGAGGTCAAGTGGCAGCGAAAGCCATTGTCGAGGAGAAGTTGTTCCCGTTTTCCGGGTTTGGCGAATTTGAACAGGAAAATTCGACTGGAAAGATCGTAAACATTCGACAAACGGAGGCCGGTGAGGGAAGTTGATAGTTCATTTGCAATGACCTACAATTGCAACAACGCAACGGAGTCAGTTGTTGCTTGCAGGCGCAGGCGCGTGCGCATGCGGGGCATGGGAGAAACACAGACCTTGACGTCGAGGGATGAAAAACGCTGTTTCATGATGAAACCTCTTTTCCAGTTCAAGCGGAAATATAGAGAAGGACAACAGGCCAAGGCAGTGATGCTCAACACAAGGCACGACTAGCACCGGGGGAAATTGACATGGTGACTCTTTGATTGGAAATATTTCAGCGTCCAGATGACGTCGATTTGGTAATTTCATCGCAGCAAGGCTGTGGCCTCCCGACAAGGCTGCAATTCCCCCCCAAAAGTCTTCAAAACGGCCAACAAGCCCCAGGTCTTGACTTTTAATGGTCATGATGCTCATGGTCCTCTTTTCCGCTCCCTAACGCCATCCAGTAACATCCTCGTTGTCCATCTCACATGTAGGCTATGACAGTGCCTTCAGACGATCGCCCCCGTTTCCGCCGTCCACGAAAATCACAGGTTTCTTCGTACGAACTCCATGCCCTGCTTCTTTCCAAACTCCCAGAGATTCTGTATCCCCTGTTCACTCAGGTCAATGTTCTTCATATTTGGCGCATCCTGTGCAGGGGCCTTTGAGACTCTGGATGCCACCATCACCGGGTCCGTCTCCAAAACTATGCCGTCGTCGACAATCTCGTCAATGGCCAAAGTGACCAGATCGTAGTTCTCCATGATCGTGCGCTTGTCTGTCGAGTTTCTATAGTCACCCTTGTCAGTTGCTGTCAGCGAGAAGAAGGGGGGCGATAGACAGACTTTAACAGTATGCTCAACGTATCTCTCAGCGCCAACACAACATTATACAACAGAATCTCATTCTCCTCTGGGCCGCCCACCACGTAGAGCATAACGTCGCTCTCCATCTTGAACACCACGACTTTGTTATCGTAGAGGATCACATCTGAGGTCTGCTTTGATGTCTTCTCCAGCAGTCCCTTTTCAAACGCTTTCTGTTCCTTAAGGTGTGGGTATGGCTGCGATTGCAGAGGGGGCTGTGGCTGAGCTGAGGCATGTGGAGGATTGTAGTATTTGGCAAACAGCCTGGAAGAATCGGGTGATGAGTCGGTGGATAATATGAGGATCGCGACGACGCTATGAAGGGACATGCTGGGAGCCATGGCGGATGAGCGTCCTCTTCCGAGGAATGACGAGTGTCTGCCTTTATAAATCGAGTGTTTTGGCAGCAACGTCGAGAAACAATTTGTATGTATGTCTGTCCAAATTAATTGACCTGGCCTCAATTGCGCTGGAGCAGCAAAGACCGAGACTTGGAGAGCTATTGCGGGTCACACGTCAAAGGTCGACCGTACAGAATGCACCGGTGAACCATAAGTTGGCGTAGCGCAATATAGTTCAGGCTTT